GGCAGGTGTTACACTTTCACCTTTTACAGGGGAAGGTGCCATAGGGCTGTGGGGGCAGGGTGGGGGGGGGGGGTGGGGGGTGAAGGAAGGGTGGACCAGAGTGTCCCAGAGGGAATGGTCCCTGCGGAAGTCGGACAAGGGAGGGGAGGGGAATATGTGTCTGATGGTGGCATCTTGCTGGAGATGGTGGAAATGTCATCTGATGATCTTCTGGATGTGGATGCTGGTGGGATGGTAGGTGAGGATAAGGGGAACCATGTCGCTGTTGTGGGAGGGAAGAGAAGGGGTGAGGGCAGAAGTGCGGGAGATGGGATGGTCCCGGTTGAGGGCCCTGTTGACAACGGGGCTGGGGAATCCTCGTTTTAGGAATAAGGTGGACATTTTGGAGGCTCCCTTGTCGAAGTTGGCCTCATCTGAACATATGCGATGGAGACGGAGTAACTGAGAGAATAGGATGGAGTCTTTACAGGAAGTGGGGTGTGAGGATGTATAGTTCAGGTAGCTGTGGGAGTCAGTGGGTTTGTAATGGATATTAGTGGCCAGTAAATCCCCAGAAATGGAAACAGAGATGTCGAGGAAGGGAGGAGTCAGAGATAGACCAGGTTAAAGTGAGGGCAGGGTGGAAATTGGAAGCGAAATCGATGAACTTTTCTAATACCGGACAAGAGAGGGAAGCAATACCGATGATATCATCGATATATCAGAGAAAGAGTTGTGGGTGGGGTCCGGAATAGGACTGGAACAAGGAACGTTCCAGAAGAACAGGCATAACCGGGTCTACGCGGGTATCCATGACCATCCCTCTGACCTAAAGAAAGTGAGAGGAGTTAAAAGAGAAAGTGTTGAGGGTGAGGACGATCTCGGCCAAGCAGAGGAGGGTGGTGGTGGGTGGGAATGATTTAGGTCTTTGCTCCAGGAAAAAGCTGAGAGTCCTAAGACCCTCCTGCACTTTCATGGTAAAGAGTAGGCGGCTGGAGCCTGCAAACTGGAAATTTTGAAACTGGCGTAAAGTGTCAGAGGAATCATGGATATACGTGTGGGCAGGGATTGGACCATGAGTCAAGGTAGGAAGAAATGAGTTCTGTGGGGCAGGAGCAGGCTGAAACAATAGGTCAGCCGGGACAGTCCTGTCTGTGGATTTTTGGAAGGAGGTAGAAGCGAGCTGTGCAGGGCTGGGGGACTATCAGCTTGGAGGCGGTGGAGGGGGGTTGGTGGTGATAATGCAAATGTAGAGGTCGGTATGCCAGACTACAACAACACCACCCTTATCGGCAGGCTTAATGTCAAAGTCAGGGTTAGATCTAAGTGCACGGAGTGCAGTCAGTTTGGAGGGAGATAGGTTGGATTTGGTGAGGGCGGCAGAGAAATTGAGATGACTAATGTCACATCGACAGTTCTCAATGAACAGATCGAGTGCAGGTAAAAAGCCGGAGGGAGGGGTCCGGTTGGAGGGAGAATGTTGGAACTGGGCGAAAGTGTCTGTGGGACGGGGAGAGGACTCTTGTCCAATGAAATGAGCACGGAGGCGAAGATGGCGGAAGAAGAGTTCAGCGTCATGTCGGGCACAAAATTCATTAAGGTGGGGACGCAGAGGGATAAAGCTGAGGCCTTTGCTGAGTACAGAGCGTTCAGCATCGGAGAGTGGTGGGTTAGGATGGATGGTGAATACCCGACAGGAGGTAGGGGTTTGGGGGAGGGGATGGAGTCAGAGGGAAGGAGAGGAGAGGAGGGTTCCAGAGGGCCATGGGTAGCTCTGAGTTATTGCATCTTGTGGGCCTTGATGCCTGAAAGGAAAAGAAAATGTTTCTTGTTAGCATGACGAATGAGCCAGAGGATGAAGTGGAACTGAGGAGTGGTGCAGCCCTGAGCCAGCACGTTGCGATGCTGTTGGAGAGAGAGGTTGAGAGTGTGTATGTGACGCCGCATGGCACTGAGTGTGGATCTCAGGATGCGGCGAGAGCAGCTGTCTGTGGAACGTTGAACATCACGGAGATATCTGTGATCCTGGGAGGATTCAAAACATGAGGGATAAAACTTCAGTTGGAATCCATGTGGAGTGAGTCTGAGCTGGAGGCAGTCACTGAGGAATGTGATATGGCTGTGGAAATGAGTTTAGCAAATACCTGGTCAAACACCAGGAGTGACAGTGAAATTAATGTTGGTGGACACGAAAAAAGATTGGAACGGAATGACAGTAACATCTTTTCTTCCTTAAAATTCATTAGTGAGCCAGATGGGTTTTTAATTCATGGAATCCCTACAATGTGGAAACAGGCCATTCAGCCCATCAAGTCCCACCAACCCTCCAAACAGCATCCCTCCCAGACTCATCCCTCCTTCCCTATCCCTATGACTCTGCATTCCCCATGGCTAATCCACCTAGCCTACACATCCCTGGACACTAGGGACAACTTAGCATGGCCAATCCACCTGACCTGTACATGTTTGGATTGTGGGAGGAAACTGGAACACCTGGAAGAATGTGCAAACTCCACACAGGCAGTCGCCCAAGGCTGGAATTGTACCCAGGTCCCTGGCACAGTGAGGCAGCAGTACTAACCACTGTGTCACTGTGCCGTCCCATGGTGGTTGTCTGGTCACTAAAGGCTAAGTTTTAACTCCAGATTTCTATCAAATTGAAATTTCATCATCTGCCCCTTGGTGGGATTTGGAGCATATTCCCAGACCTTTAGCTGGGACACTCAGGACTCCTAGTCCGTTGATTTTGCCATTGCTTCACTCACCTCTCCCTACTTAAGGCGCTGGAGGTAGAAAACAGAAAGGTCACCCAGGCTGCCTCCTGGGATAAGGGTCTTGCCTTGTGAGGAAAGGTTGTGCAGGTCGGACCATGACTCATCAGAGCTTAGAAAGATAAAAGTGATCTCATTGAAGCGTGTAAGATTCTGGGAGGTCTGGACGTGAGGATATTTCCTGATGTGGGAGGAATTAGAGCTAGAATGCACAGTTTCATGATAAAACATCTTCCAGTTAAAGTGCAGATGAGGAGGAATTCCTTCTGGTGATTCAATGTTTGCCAAACTTTTCTGCAGATTGACCAATGGAAGCCGAATCATCAAACATTTTCAAGGCTGAACTGGATAGATTTTTGATCAGTGCTGAATAGGGGGTGATGGCAGGCTGGCAGGAATGTGGAGTTGAGACCACCAGGAAAGTGATTGTGTTCAATGATGGAGCAGGCTCGATGAGCTGAAGGGCCGCCCCAATTTCAAGAAGTAGTTGAGAAAAGTATCAAAATCCTTAAGGGGAACCACAATAAACACATCAAGAGAAAGGGATAGGAAGATAAAGGTAGGAGGAGGCTCACATGGCTTCAGAGACCCGGTAAGCCAAAAGGCCAGTTTCTGTATTGTATATATGGCGTAACTTGTAACATGGTGTAGTGAACCAACAACAATAAAAAGTGCCATTGCTAACTGTATGAGCTTCAGTGATTGGGAGAACAGAACAATTAGACATCTCTGTGAAATGAAAAACTCAAGCTCTGATATTTGCGTTTTTCTTTATTTGCTTATGGCTTTTGAAGTAATTGCACAGTAATTTTAAAGAGCAGAAAATATTCTTGGATTTACTGTGACAGCATGTATTACGAGGCTGAGGTATATTGGCGGCTACCATGGCAGCCTCTCACTATAACAAGATCCAGTGTTAGTACTGTCTTCTTGAAGGAAATTTAATGTAAGCTTCAGGCCTTAATCGAAGAGTATGTGAGAAAGCAGGAACAGGCAACTGAGTTAGATGATTAACCATGATCAGAATGAATAGTGATACAGGCCTGAGGGGCTGAATGGCCAACTCCTGCTTCTAGTTTCTATGCAACCATTCTGTCCATCAGTTATTCCACCCACTACTGCTCAAAAATGTACAGCATATTCATTTATTTCTCAGCGGTTGTTATTTGATTAACTTGAAAATTTCACTGTAGTTGTTTTTTTCCCAATGAGATGATGTTACCACAACTGTTAGACTCTCGCTGACCTTCTCTGCTCTGTGTTTTGTTGTTACGAGGACTGAAGTGCTCGGGTCTGGACGTTTTTTGGAGGGTCATGCAGACTCAATGGGCCGAAAGGCCTCTTTCTGCACTGAACTGTTTCTATGATTCTAAGTGCACTTCACTGAGTCAGATGAAGGTGGATTTTAAATAAACTCCCGAAAGGAGGCAGCTTCTTCACCTTTCAAAAATTTTATCTTTTACTCTCTTGCAGATTTTGAGTTTATCTTGTGTAGGTCCACAGGCACAGGCTTCTTTCTAATGAGGGGGGAGAAATGACCATTGCTCACGCTTACAGGCTACATTCACTGGCATTTAACAGCATAATTGACAGTGGGAAACCTCATTGGAACCATGAGAAATTCCCACAGCGTTCCTCTCTGACAACTGACAGAAGGTTTTGTTTCGTAGCTTTATCTGAGATTACACCCAACGTGTGATGGTCACATAGGCCAACACCTTAAGTATATTCCCATGCTAGCATGCACATATGGAATTTCAGCAATCACTGGATGGTGAACAGAGCTGGAATTGTGGAAATTGTCAGACTCCCTAATTTAGCAACGTTAAAGTACTGCCGTTTGTTCATTAGTCACACCAGTAAGCCACACACAATCTAAAACAAGACTGTTAACACAGCAAGGTAGGAACAGCTGATGTTTAGATGTTCCTGGCCTAAATTTCTCAATTCTGTTTGGGAATTACATCTCCACACTGACATGGTATCAAGTGTAGATCCTATCTACAGGGATGCAAGCATTTCTGTCACTGGACTAAATTAGTTCCTTCAAAGTGGTGAATTGATGAAAGCGAGTTCTGATCACTCACTAATCAAATGCACTGAATGTGTTTACATAACCTTACATATGTATCACCTCTCGAAATGCAGGTTAACCAACTACACCTTTACTGGACATTTAACAAATTCAAGCTAACTAGTAAATGCAGCACACGTTATGTGTTGGATCCAACGGGTGAATTATTTCATGAATTATATTTTACAGTCATCCAGAAAATCGCCAAGGTTTCTACTCTGGCATTTTTTCTTCCAGCTGTACCTGCAAAAGAAAAAACATAAATATAGTTAAACAAGAGGAAACTCCAGGGGCTGTCAATGGAAGAATCAACAAATGTTCATTGTTTTTCCCAAGGATCATTCACATCAAATGTTAACTCTGTTTTCTTCGCTCCTCAGATGCTGCTCGACCTTCTGAGCACATACAGCACCTTCTGTTTTTGGCTCTGATTTCTTTGCAGTTGTCAGAGATTATAAGTGGGTATAACATTTGTCCATTCTCTCCTCTTTATTCCTTGGAAGTAGGGGATCACTGGCAATGCCAGCATTTATTGCATACTCTCAGCATGGCTTGCTCGGTCACTTCAGAGGGCAATTAAAAGTTAACCCCATTGCTGTGGGTCTGGAGTCACATGTCGGACAGATCAGGTAAGGATGGCAGATTCCCTTCCCTAAGGGATTTTATTGAACTAGATGTGTTTTTTGAGTGACAATTGATGGTCACCATCACTGAGAACAGCTTCAGAATGCTAGATTCATTAACTGAGTGTAAATTCACCAGCTACCAAGTTGGGATTGACCAACGTCCCTAGACCATTATTTATGTCTCTGGTTTATTTGCCCCTGTACTGATTGGAACCAGATGGGTTTCGTTGATATGAGATCCTTCATTGGGGATGTTAACCTGGGCCAATCAGGAAAACACTGGCTGACCAATACTAACAGGGGATGAGGGGATCTCTTGTGGTGCAGTGCTAGTGTCCTACCCCTGGGAGTCCCAGGTTTCAAGTCTCACCTGCTCCAGAGGTATGTAATAACATCTCTGAACAGGTTGATTAGGAAAACTGGTTAAATAAAATTGATTGAGAACTGAGGAAAATTTAAAAAATATATTAACAGGGGATTTAGGATCTCCTCAGTTCAGGGGACTGACTCTGATCTGGCTGGCCATAGCCAGTGTACTGTGTACAAGGAAATAAAGACTGACTTGTGATGGGATCCCAGCCTCTGTGCAGTTATTTCAAACCCCATGTTCTAGATTCCTCACCCAGCAACTCGATAGTTGGATTTTACTTCCTTTGCTCTTTTCTTTGTGGGAGTGTGGGGAAACAGGTATTCTAGTGCAGAGTGGTAAGACTGTAATTAGAATAAAGAGCAAAGACCAATACAGCACAGGAACAGGCCCTTCTGCCCTCCAAGCCTGTGCCGATACATTTTGTCCTTCCATACTAAAACTGTCTTCACTTACAGGATCTGTATCCCTCTCTTCCCTTCCTATTCATATCTTCGTCCAGGTGCTTCTTGAATGCTGCTATAGTGTCTGCTTCCACCACCTCCTCTGGCAACGCGTTCCAGGCACTCACCACCCTTTGTGTGAAAAACCTGCCTCTCACATCTCTTTTAAACTTGTCCCCTTGCACCTTAAACCTATGTCCCCTAGTAATTGTCTCCTCCACCCTGGGAAAAAGCCTCATACTTTCCACTCTATCCATGCCATTCACAATCTTATCAACTTCTATCAGGTCGCTCCTCAACCTCTTGCGTTCCAGTGAAAACAACCCAGTCTATCCAACTTTTCTCCATAGATAAAATCCCCCATACCAGACAACGTCCTGGTAAACCTTTTCTATACCCTCTCCAAAGCATCCACATCCTTCTGGTAGTTGTATAATAGTGGTAATTGTATCACCTTTATACAAGGTTAACCTTATCATTGACTTTGCCTTTCACGTCGGTGCTAGGGAAATTATGAGACTCACGTTTGTGGTAGGGAAATTATTGGAAAAGGTTCTCAGGGGCAAGATCCATATGCATTTAGAAGGAAATGGACTTTTTGGAATAGACAGCATGGTTTTTTTTGGGAAGGTCGTGCCTCAATAACTTGAACGAGTTTTTTTGAGGAGGTAACAAAGATGATTGATGAGGGGAAAGCAGTTGATGCTATTCACATGGACTTCAGTAAAGCCTTAGACAAGGTCCCTCATGGCACTCTGGTACAAATGGTGAAGTCTTATGGTGTCATGGGTGAGCTGGCAAGATGGATACAAAACTGGTCTAATCACATAAGACAGAGGGATAGCGGTGGAGATACTTTTTGGAATGGAGGGTTGTGACAAATGGAGTTCCACAGGGATCAATGCTGGACCCTTGCCATTCATGGTCTACATAAATGTTTTGGAGGGAAATGTAGCTGGTCTCATTCGTACAATACAAAGATTGGTGGAGTTGCGGATAGTGAGGATGATTGTCAGAGGATGTAGCAGGATATAGATCAGTTGGAAGCATGAGCAGAAAAATGGCAGATGGAATTTAATCCGGACAAATGTGAGGTGATGCATTTTGGAAGGTCAAGTACCGATGGAAATTACACAGTGAATGGCAGAACTCTTAGGAGTATTGATATGCAGAGAGATCTGGGTGTGCAGGTCCACAGATCACTGAAGGTGGCAGTGCAGGTAGATAAGGTAGTAAAAATGATTTATGGCACACTTGCCTTCATTTGAAGGGACATTGTGTATGAGGATAGATAAGTTATGCTGCAGCTTTATAGAACTTTAATTAGGCCAAACTTGGAATATTGCATACAGTTCTGGTCACTTCATTATAGGAAAGATGTGGAAGCTTTAGAGAGGGTGCAGAGGAGATTTACCAGGATGCTGCCTGGACTGGAGGGCAAGTCTTATGAGGAAAGGTTGAAGGAGCCCGGGCTTTTTTCACTGGAGCTAAGAAGGATGAGAGGTGACTTGATAGAGGTATACAAGATGATGAGATGTAAAGATAGAGTGGATAGTCAGACACTTTTTCACAGGGCAGAAGTGACTATTATGAGGGGGCACAATTTTAAGGTGCTTGGAGGAAGGTATTGGGGAGATGTCAGAGGCAGGTTCTTTACACAGAGAGTGGTAGGTGCGTGGAATGCGCTGCCAGTGATGGTAGTGGAGTCAGATACATTAGGGACATTCAAGCGACTCTTGGATAGGCGCATGGATGATAGTAAAATGTAGGGTATGTAGGGTAGTTTGATCTTAAAGTAGGATAATAGGTCGGCACAACATCGTGGGCCGAAGGGCCTGTACTGTGCTGTACTGTTCTATGTTCTTAAAATCTGTGGTCACTTGCCTGAAATTTAGCTTTATACTTAAATTCACTGTTTAAGTTTAAGATCTCTTAGAGCGGTAGAGCTAATCCAGAAAATCAAGATTTCTATTGCAGAACAGGTGGGAATAGTCCGTTAAGTAAAGTGGCCTTTGCAACTGTGTGGTAGAAAGTGATTTGTGTCTCTTGTCATATAAATAAAAAAGGTTATGTATCCTGTCATGGAGAGTTTTCGGGATGGGGTGGTGATGAGAATAGTAACGCTGTGCGTTTGGTGAAAGAGGAGCTTAGTGGGAAAGGAAAGGGAGGTGCTCTTTTCTCTAAATAAAAACTGAAAGAACTGCGGATGCTGTAAATCAGGAACAAAAACAAAGCTGCTGGAAAAGCTCAGCAGGTCTGGCAGCACCTGTGAAGGAAATAAACAGAGTTAACGTTTCTTGTGCAGTGACCCCTCCCCAGAATAGACCCGAAACGTTAACTCTGTTTTTTCCTTCACAGATGCTGCCAGACCTGCTGAACTTTTCCAGCACTTTGTTTTTGCTCTTTTCTCTCTCTATTTTCAGCCTCAAAGAAACCAGGAGATGAATAGTTCCACAAGAATGAAGAATTTTCAAAATATTCAACAGAAAGATTGCAAGGAAAACTCATCATGTGGGCTGAGGAGCAAGTTCAGGATGCTTGTTGGGCTTGGTAAGTAAGACCAAGTAGATATATCTATAGATACCAAGGTGTACAGCTGGATGAACACAGCAGGCCAAGCAGTATCAGAGGAGCAGGAAGGCTGACGTTTCGGGCCTAGACCCTTCTTCAGGAATGGGGGAGGGAAGGGGGTTCTGAAATAAATAGAGATAGAGGGGAAGGTGGATAGAAGATGGATAGAGGAGAAGATAGGTGGAGAGGAGACAGACAGGTCAAAGAGGCGGGGATGGAGCCAGTAAAGGTGAGTGTAGGTGGGAATTTAGGGAGGGTCAGTCCAGGGAGGATGGACAGGTCAAGACAACTCTATCCATCTTCTATCCGCCTTTGAGGTGAATTATTTGATAAGAACTCCACGTGGAAGGGAAACTCACAGAGTGTGTCATGTGAATATGCTCAAAATATATTTTGATAGGGACAGAAAGCAAAAGGAGAATGTTTACTTGTTACAACTTGCAGTGAAGAACCAAATCTAGATAAATTTGAATTTGATATTTTTCACAAAAATTAGATGATGAGGAAGTTCTCAAAAATTGGGATAAACTATTAAGTTATCTTCCAGAGGAAAATCAAAATGACCTGAAAGAGTATTACAATCACATGGAGACATATGTTGGAATAAGCTGGGAAGTACTAACATAATTATGCATGATGTAGATGTAGGAAATACTGTTCTATTTAAGTAACATTCTTATCGACGTAACCCTTTAAAATTGCCGCAGGTTCAAAAAGAGATTGAAAGCATGCTCAAACACGATATAATTGAAATGAGTTGCAGCAAGTGGAGCTCACCCATCGTGATGGTGCCAAAACCAGATGGTTAATGTTAATGTATTGATTAACGCAAAGTCAGTGCAGTTACAAAGTCTGATTTATATCCTATTCCATGGCTGGAAGACTGTATTGAGAAGATGGGACAAGCAAATTATGTTTTGAAACTAGACTTACTCAAAGGACACTGACAGATACCTTTACTTGAGACAGTGAAGGAAATTCCGGCTTTCGTGACACCGAATGGACTTTACCAGTTTAAAATCATGCCATTTGATATGAAAAATGCACTAGCTGCATTTCAAAGACTAGCCAATAAAGTATTTTCAGGATTACCCAATTGTTTGTTAACTGCATTTAAAAGACTAATTAATAAAGCATTTTCAGGATTAGCCAATTGTGTGTTGTACATCGACAACCTGGTGATTTTTAGTCACACATGGAAGGAACATTTGCAGCATCTATCGGAATTGTTCAAATGACTCCAAAAGGTGGACTTGGTGATAAATCTGGCTCAGATTGATTTCACAAAAGCCCAAGTTACATTCCTGGGCCATGTCATTGGAGATGGACAGATGGCCCCCTGGTACATGAAAACAAAGATCATTGAGAGTTGGCCATACCATCGACAAAGAGAGAAGTACTACAATTCCAAGGACTGAATGGGTTTTATCGGATATTCGTACTGAATTTTAACAGTGTTGTTGCTCCACTGACTGACTTAGTGAAGAAGTGCAGAAAGTTTCAGTGGATGGCGGACTGGTCAGAAGGCAATTGGCAGCCTGAAAGCTCTGTTAGCCGCTGCCTCAGTGTTAACCACACCTAATTACACAAAGCCATTCAAGGTGGCTATCGATATGAGTGATGTGGGTGTCAGTGCTGTACTCTTTCAAAAAGATGGCCAGTAGATAGAAAGACCTATTGGGTATTTTTCCAGAAAGTTGAAATTTTGTCAAAAGAAATATTCCACAATTGAGAAGGAGACCTTGAGATTGGTGTTGGTGTTGCAACATTTCAACATTTATGTTGGGGTAATGCATCTGGGACAATTGTTTCTATTAATCCTAACTCCTTAACATTTTGGAAAACAATTAGAGATAAAAATAAAGATAAAAATACGCATTTCCGCAAATACGGTTTTGATGGATTTTATTGTTGCAGCCATTTAATTTGAAAATTATACATGTTGCCGGATGAGAAAATGTAATTGCCAATGCCATGACTTTGATGAAGGGGGACGAAGGTGTTCAGTGGCAGAACCAACAGATTGAAATGGACTGTAGTAGTGAATGTTTACATGCTTAGAGTCAATGTAAAGTATATCTATTGTAGTGCACTCATAGGGCAAAGACTAAAGGTCTTTAAAAATTAACCCATCTTTGTATATTAATGGCTGTATTTTTTTAAAGGGGGGAGATGTGACAATTCTATGGCTTGAAAAGGTGAGCTTTGTGCTGGTTTTTGTTGAAGAGAGGTTTTAAGACGGAGGGGCCAATAAAGTAAACATCTTGTTAGGCCTTGGCTTTTTTTAAAATTTGGAACAGCAGATGCAGTCTGAATGGATGGAGTCAGGCTCCCACAGGACCAGGGTTTTAGTTTAGCTTTCAGTAGTTGTTCGGGTTTTGAAGTTGGCTGTGGAAGCTGTTACATCTCTCTCAGCCACTGCAAAAAGCTGGTGTTCTCTCGCTGCTGCCAGGAGAATCTGTTTTATTGACTTTGCCTTTGCCAAGGGTGTGTTTATGGGATGTTACTACATTGGAACAGTTGCTGTTTAGTAGTTAAATAATCTATTATTCTGTTACATTTTCCAAAAGAGTTACAAGTTATACCAATTCTTCATTCTTTCATTTTGTATTTTGACTATAGAGTAAAAATAAAGTACGTCTTGCTTAAAGTTGAGTAGTGTAATCAATTGAATAACATCTGGAACACAGCACCTTACATTTGCCTTTAAATAAGATAAAGGCCAAGATCTAGGCTATCTCCATGATATATTTGAAGGGATTTGGTCTGGTCCATAACAAGCTGAATGGTGTTAGACTGATAAGGTTTATATGCAAAGGAATATTTGATATTTTCTTACTAAGCTGTTTGGAGGTTAAAATGGAAATTTTTGGAGAAACTCGGTAGGTCTGGCAGTATCTGTGGAGAATAAGCAGGATTAATATTTCAAGTCTTGTCATGAGGCTTTTTATCCATAAGATGTTTTGAGACCTGCTGAGTTTCTTCAGCAATTTCTGTTTTCTTTACAGATTTCTAGCATCTGCATAAAATTGTTTTATTTTCCTATTCAGAAATGTTATTTTACAACTTTACAGCAGGTTGGATTTAAAAATTAGCCCTCCTAACTCAGAGGCAAGGACATAACCACTTCACTGCAAGAGTATGTACACTCATCACTGAAAGCAAGCATGCAGGTGCAGCAAGCAGTTATGTAGGCAATTGGTAGGTTGCCCTTCATTGCAGGATGTTCTGAATAGAGGAGTAAGAAGATCCTCAAGGAGCCTCCTTCGCCCAACCATCTTCAGCTGCTTCATCAATGACCTTCCCTCCATCATAAGGTTAGAAGTGGGGATGTTCACCGATGATTGCATGATGTTCAGCACCATTCGCGACTCCTCAGATACTGAAGCAGTCTGTGTCCAAATGCAACAAGATCTGGACAATATCCAGGCTTGGGCTGACAAGTGGCGTGTAACATTCACGCCACACAAATGTCACACTGTGACCATCTCCAAAAAGAGACAACTTAAGCACCATTCCTTGATATTCAATGGTGTTACCATCACTGATTCCTCATATCAACATCCTGAGGATTACTGTTGACTAGAAACTCAGTTGGACTCGTCACATGAACACAATGGCTGCAAGTGCAGGTCAAAAGCTAGGAATACTGTGGCAATAACTCACCTCCTGACTCCCCAGAGCCTGACCACCATCTATAAGGCACAAGTCAGGAGTGCGATGGAATACTTCCCACTTGCCTGGACGGGTGCAGCCCCAACAACACTCAAGAAGCTTGACACCATCCAGGACAAAGCAGCCGCTTGATTGGCACCACATCCACAAGCATCCACTCCCTCTACCACCGACACTCAGTAGCAGCAGTGTGTCCTATTTAGAAGGTGCACTGCAGAAATCCACCAAAAATCCTTATACCTACCTCCCAAACCCACGACCACTTCCATCGAGAAGGACAGGGGCAGCAGATATATGGGAACACCACCCCCTGCAAGTTCTCCTCCAAGTCACTCACCATCCTGACTTGGAAATATTTCACCATTCCTTCCATATCACTGGGTCAAAATCCTGGAATTCCCACCATAATAGCATTGTGGTTCAACCACAGAAGATGGACTGCAGCGGTCCAAGAAGGCAGGTCGCCACCATGTTCCCAAGGGCAACTAGGGACGGATAATAAATGCCGGCCTAGCCAGTAATGCCCACGTCCCACAAATGAATAAATTTTTTAAAAATGTAAGTTTTATTGCAACTGTACAGGGCTTGGTTAAGACCACACCTGGGATATTGTGTCCAGTTTTGATCTCTTACTTTGGGAACTCTCCGCTTACCATTGTAGGTGCATGGGGGTGCGTGTATGGTCTTGAAGGAGTGTAGTTAAGGTTAATCAGATGGATTCCTGGACTGACAAATTTTTTTTTGAGGGACGTCTGAACCTGTATTTGCTGGAATTTAAAAGAATTAGATGGGGTTTTAGTGAAAGGTGTTGACAGGGCTGGATTGATGTTTCACTTTGGCAGGAGGATCTGCACAAAGGAGTCATGGTCTCAGGATGTGCAGTCGGCTGTTTTGGACTGAGACAAGAAGAAATTTCTTCACTTAAAGGGTGGTGAATTTGTGGAATTCTACTCCACAGAGGGCTGTGGAGGCCAATTCACTGAATGTTAATTTAGAAAGAGATTGATGGATTTCCAGGGGCTGAGGTTACAATGGGTGTGAGGAGAACGGCGGATCATGACATTGAGATAGAAGGTCAGTTGAAGAGTGGAGAGAGCTCAATGGGCCAAATAGTGTAGTCCTGCTTCCATTTCCTACATTTGTTGATAATCTCAAGTGGGGCTAAAATGGGCTAAATCTCAATTTTGTAATCTAAGAATGCCAATCATGAGCAAGAACTTCCACCTTCTTTTTGCACTTTTCTTTCTTCATTTGGCGGGTGCAAAGCACAGCTGTCGAGTTCAAGTTGGGAGTGGAAACCAACTGTTTTAAGCCACATTTAGCATTCAAGCTAGGGACAGCTATGGATCAATGAATGAGCCAAATAAGCTATGCTTCACTGCAAGAGTGTTTTCAGGATATCTAATGGGGAGAGGTGGATTACACGTCCTGTGCATTGTATACCTGTAGCACTTATAGACAGTCATGGACCCAGGTTGCAGTCCTTAAGACGTTAAGGATCTGAAAGAGTTAATGGTGAGGACTGCATTAAGCATTGCCTAATACAATGATTTCACATGAGAACAGGCAGGGGAACATGAAGAATTCAGAAAGAGAAAGACCTCGTTATCGGTTCTAACACATGGTATGGTAACAACGTCTATCACAATGATAATTTGTTGTCTGGCTCCTGCTGCTCTGATCTAATTGGCTTGCTAAGCCATTTCTGGGAATAGTAAAGAATCAAACACACCATCTTGAGCCTGGAGTCATATGTAGACTAACTGGGGAAAGGACAACAGATTTCTTTCCTGGAATTAGATGGGCTTTTCACAACAATTCACAATAGTTTCAGTTACCCTTAGTGACACTAGCTTTCAGTTCCAGAAATATTAATTGAGTTTAAATTCCAGCAGCTTCAGATTTGAACCCATAGTCCATCAAACATTCTCCTGGCTTGCTGGATTACTATTCCAGTGGCATTGCATGCTAGCAATTAGCGTAATAGGTTCATGTTTTATTTAGTACAAGAATGTCTGGTTGTTAGATTCCAGGTGGTTTTCCTTTATCACACTGGGCCAAGAGCAGTTCCCTGAAAATCTCAACCAAGAAAGAGGATGTTGCAGCAAATCTACCAGATAGACCTTGTGTCACGATGAACAGTGGTGAGGATTAATTTTGGAACAACGCTAAAAATACCGGACTCACTACTCTGAAATGGAAATGATATTTAGAGACAGCTCCAAGCAAGAAAGTAAAAGGTTTTTGACATACCAGGCATTCATCCCTTGGGGCGTCACTATCCTTTTCGCACACTGAATGTCATCTATGATGTTGTCATTGATAAAATCTACAAACAAAAAGACAATGTTGCATTAAAATAATCCATTGAATGTTCATGTGTGAAGTTTGTACCTATGTCCATGATCTAAGCTGTTTCTGGTTTGGAAAAGATGGCCCTGTCTTTAAAAAAAAATCCAAGAGTTCACTAAATAATTAATCGCTGAGAAGATTTGTTTTCCCAGTTCCATTCCACTAGGCCATTACAGTTTCAAAGATATGAAACTCTACCAGTTCAGTAGAGGGGGTTGCTTGCAGTGTCATCTGTGTCAAACTGATAAGCAGAGATCACCTTATCTTTCGTACAAATGGTAATGATTTTGAATCCATTACTCAGAATTCACAAAAGGGTTTTCTTTTCCCTTGTTTCCCCCCCACCCCCGCCACATTTCCCTGTTGCCTGTCATAGATGCATTTGGATGAGCTCAAGTAAGTTTTTCTCTCATGTTGGTTTTCCCACCAGACCTATCCCAGCAGCTACATCCCTTAAGACATCCCTTAATAGAGGGAGATAGTAGGAACTGCAGATGCTGGAAAATCTGAGATAACAAGGTGTAGAGCTGGATGAACACAGCAGGCCAAGCAGCATCATAGGAGCAGGAAGGCTGACGTTTCGGGTCTAGACCCTTCATCAGAAAGGCCCGAAACGTCAGTCTTCCTGCTCCTCTGATGCTGCTTGGCCTGCTGTGTTCATCCAGCTCTACACCTTGTTATCCCTTAATAGAGGGATTGAGTTCAAGAGCCGTGAAGTTATGCTTCAGCTATACAAAAGCCTGGTTTGGCCACATCTGGAGTATTGTGTCCAGTTCTGGTCATCTCATTACAGGAAAGATGTGGAAGTGCTGGAAAAGGTGCAGAGGAGATTTACCAGGATGTTGCCTGGAATGCAGGGAAGGTCTTACGAGGCAAGGTTGAGAGAGCTAGGGCTTTTCTCTTTAGAACGACGAAGGTTGAGAGGTGACTTGATACAGGTGTACAAAATGATCAGAGGTATAGATAGAGTAGACAGCCAGAGACTTTTTCCTAGGGTGGAGGTAATTATTATGAGGGGGCATAGTTTTAAAGTGAGTGGAGGTAGATAATGGGAGACGTCAGAGGTAGGTTCTTTACTCAGAGAGTGGTAGGGGCGTGGAATGCATTGCCAGAGAGGGTAGTGGAGTCGCCCTCATTAGGGGCATTTAAGAGGCTATTAGATAGGCATATGGATGATAGTATAAGGTAGGGGTGGAGGTTAGATAGACCTTAGGATTAGGGTAAAAGTTTGGCACAACATCGTGGGCCAAAGGGCCTGTACTATGCTGTACTGTTCTATGTTCTGTGTTCTGTGTTCTAAGACTTGGCCAACTCAGTCAGTTATGGGACAGCTGAACCAATCTGGGGAATGTACACTGAAGTCCCTTTCCCAGAGGACATTTTGCACCCTTCCTACTTTCAGTGCTTTTTCCAACACGTGTTGTTCAACACGTAGGTGCTCTGGTTCATCAGCCATGGGGTGTGATAGGTACACATCAGTGGGAGGTTTCATTGTCCATGTTTGATCAGGAGCCATCAGACTTTAGAAAGTTCAGAATCAATGTTGAGAACTTCCAGGGTAACTCAGTCCCAATTATATATCATTGTGTGGCCACCTCTGATGTCCATCCTGCTGGAGGGACAGGATGTAGCCAGATATGATGATGGCAATGCTTTGACATTGTTTGAAAGGTACAATCTGGTGCAGATTTGGGGAAGATTCCATTGGATTGATTGATACTGAATTTAATTTGTTCAATCAGAAAGTGGGAGGGGGGTAGGTTGCTAAAACAGAAGTTAGCAAACTATAGCCCAGTTAGCTTAACAGCTGCTGTAGAGAAATTGTTGGAATCAATTATTAAAGATGTTATAGCACATAGAAATAATCAAGGTAATCAGGCAGAGTCATCATGATCTTGTGAAAGGGAAATCATGTTTAACTAATTTGTAAGACACTTCTGAGGAAGTAACATGTACGGTGGATAAGGAGAAATTGATGGATGTACTCAGAAGGCATTTATGAAGGTGTCACATCAAAGATTATTGCAATGAATAAAGGCTGATGGTACAGGGGGTAATATATTGGCATCGATAGATGATTGGTTCACTTATAGGAAACAGAATAAGCATAAATGGGACTTATTCTGATTGGCAAGATTGAGCAAGTCGTGTGCCACAGGAATCATTTCTGCTTACGATTTACATAAATAACTTGGATAAAGGGACAGAAAGCATGGTGGCTAGATTCTGAATGAATTCAAACCCCACCATTAGCTACAGAATGATTTGAACCCAGGGCAACAGAACATTGCCTGATTTACTAGAATAATAGGCTAACGATAATACCATTGAGCCTTCCTTAAAAATACTCATTTATCACAACTCTCTGTTTTCTGCTGGTTAGTCAATCTTCTATGCTTGCCTTGTGTATTAACCTTTCCTGCAACATTTTATCAAATGCTTTCTGGAAGTTCAAATACACTACATCTACAATGTACCCACTGTCTCTGCTGCTCCGTCCTTTAAGACCCTAGAATGTAGGGTCTGTCTGCCTTTAATCCCAATTGTTTTTGGAGCTCAGTACTTTTTTCTTTTGTGATAGTGATTGTTCTAAATTCTTCTTTTCCTATAATCTCTGCATCTTCTGTTACTATTGGTATGGTTTCAGCATCCCTGACCATGAAAACTGAGGCAAAATATTGATTCTGTGTCTCTGTCATATAAGACCATAAGACCAAGAGAAATAGGAACAGGAGTAGGCCATTTGGTCCCTTGAATCCTGTGCTATTCAATAGGATCAAGGCTAATCTGACATTCTTCATGTCCACTTTCCTGCCCTTTTCCCATAACCCTCGATTCCCCAACTGATCAAGAATCTATCTATCTTAGCCTTAAATACACACAAGGGCTCTCCCCCCATGGCTCTCTGTGGCAAGGAGTTCCAAAGACTCACAACCTTCTGAGAAAGTAAATTCCTCCTCATCTCAGTCTTAAATTGGTGCCCCTTTATTCTTAGACTGTGCCCTCTGGTCTTAGACTCTCCCACAAGTCTCCCATTGTTAACTCCCCAGCCTCATCGTCAAAGGCACTAACTTGCTTTCTTTAATTGTTGTACAGTAATTTATTTTGTTTAAATTAGAATTGTTGTGTTTTAATTCTTTCACTTAATAAACGTGAGTTTCAATTTCTTTTGAGAAATTACTGCTGTAGACCAAAATTGTAGCATTAGGGAAGAGATCATTTCTGATCTGTCATGATGTGATGAATTGCTTACCACTGCACCTCTTCCTACATCCTTTCCTTTTCTTTGGGTGCTGTGTCTGACCATCTTCACACCACTTGACGCTGTTGATCTGAAAGATCCCGTAATCTGATGACAGAGTCCTTCCAGCCCTCCTGTTATGTCCAACTATCCTTGTGTTGTAGTTGCTCTCATGCTGCACCAAACAAACCCCTAAAATGAGAGCAAACAGATCACACCTTTATGGTAGATATTTACCCTAATGCCCCTTCATTTCTCAAGCACAAATGAAAGTGGTGGCATAGTGGTCACTGAATATCCACTTACCAAGTCACTTTTATTTACACATGGAGAGTCCTTGACACTGATCACAGAACCAGTCTTTATAACAAAATTCACTCTGGAATCCAGCCTTTACATTTTTCAGGATGTCTGCCAGACTAAGAACTTAAACTGGGGAACTTTTAGAGATTAAGGATACAACTGCAGCTTCAATCTCTTATGAGAATCATCTGATTCAGTTACCATTGATCGGGCCCAAGCTTCATGGGGCGAAATTGATTGAGAAAGATTCACCTTGATCAGTTCAACATTTTTCAATTAGAAAATGGCTGCTTGAGTGAAGTCCTAATTAAATAAGCAGACACTTTTTTTTCAGGAAGATCTAGGAACTATCAAAGGAGCCAAGGCCAATTTGCATGTTGACCAGGAAGCCCAATAGGTCAGTTTGCCTTTGTGGAGATTTGAAACATACAGTAAACCACTTCTCACAGCTGGATAAATAACCAATCCCTCGAAGCTGGACCTGAGCCATGCATACTTGCAATTGCAGGTCAGAGTCAACCACATTGCTGTGGGTCTGGAGTCACATGTAGGCCAGACAAGGTAAGGATGGTAGTTTCCTTCCCTAAAGATTAGTGAACCAGATGGGTTTTCCAACAATCGCCAATGGGTTCATGGTAATCATTAGACTCATTACTGTATGTTTCAAATCCCCACAAAGGCAAACTGACCTATTGGGCTTCACAATCAGCATGACCAGTGCTACCTATATTGCAAACTGGACTGGTTTAATGATTCCTTCACTTTCCAGCCTCCTGATTTCTGCCTCTACCTGTGCCCACAAGGGAAATGTCACTGGGTAGGCCTTGCAGAATCATAGAATTGCTTCCTGGTCAACATGCAAATTGGCCTTGGCTCCTTTGATAGTCCCTAGATCTTCCTGAAAAAAAAGTGTCTGCTTATTTAATTAGGACTTCACTCAAGCAGCCATTTTCTAATTGAAAAACGTTGAACTGATCAAGGTGAATCTTTCTCAATCAATTTCGCCCCATGAAGCTTGGGCCCAATCAATGGTAACTGAATCAGATGATTCTCATAAGAGATTGGAGCTGCAGTTGTATCCTTAATCTCTAAAAGTTCCCCAGTTTAAGTTCTTAGTCTGGCAGACATCCTGAAAAATGTAAAGGTTGGATTCCAGAGTGAATTTTGTTATAAAGACTGGTTCTGTGATCACTGAAATGGGCACACTGGTATCAACTTACATTAGAATTGGGTGACCGTTTAACTAGATGTTTAGAATAGAGTAGAATATAGAATATCCTTTCATTGTCATGTGCATTCAGTATAACATGCGGTGAAAAGTGTGCACTGTCACTTTATGTGGGCATCATTCACATTAACTTAAGAATAAAATTTTAAAAAAGGTAACTTAAGGTGGTATAGTAAGAACTGCCGATGCTGAAGTTTCTAACACAGTGTGGAGCCGGAGGAACACGGTGGGCCAGGCAGCATCAGAGAAGCAGGAAAGCTGATGTTTCGGGTCGGGACCCTTCTTCAGAAATGTTTGCGAAGGAATTTAACCGTTCCCATTTCTGAAGAAGGCTCCCGACCCGAAACGTCAACTTTCCTGCTCCTCCGATGCGGCCTAGCCCGCTGTGCTCCTCTAACTTAAAAAGTGTCCAACTCTTCCTTCCCTGCTGCTACAGCATGCCACCACTTTAGGCTCGCTCTGAGCTTCCCAGCCTACGCTATGCCATTGCCAAGAGTATCCCGCTCTGGACTTCCAAGCCCTCGCTACACCACTGCCAGGGGCCCACTCCACGTGGAAGTGAGAGATATGCTCCAGGCTTCACAGGACGACTGACCCACTCTGTAGCCATGCTGCCTCTGAAGACACCGCCGCTGCTCGAGAGCCTGTTGACACCACCCCCTGCTGATTGGCTCTCTTTATTTTGATCGATTCTTTTGATTGGTTTTGAGTTGGATGTTGTTAATGAATTTAACTGTTCCAAACCAGACAGAGGTGGGCTTTCCAGGGTGTGTACTGTCCTGAATACCAGCCTATGAGTTGTCTTACTCAATTTAGGTCTAGTGAGACTCTCTTGTTGTGTCGAGTCCACATACTGGCAGCTACTTCAATGGCTTGTCAGCCCGGATCCTTAAAATTTTAACCATTCACTGAAGATGTGGCTTTGATTTGGAGTTTTGCTGTGGGCTGGCCTGGAGTCCCAAAAATGTTATAGTTTAAGGCTATGCGATTGCCTTTACTCAGTTGGTGTTCCCTAAACTCAGTCGGCCTGGCAAGGGTGTCCATTTCCATTGGAATACCCTGTAACTCATATATTCCACTTACCACATTTTCTAATGGCAAAGCCAGTTGTAGTGTCTGTTTGAAATCTGATCGAGCTTGGGCTAGTAGACACTTTTGCAGGGTTACAGTATTAATCCCACATACCAAACGCTGTCTCAGCATCTCGTTAAACGTCAAACTAAAGTCACATACCTCTGCCAGTCATCCTAACCTCGTCAAAAATCCCAATACGGATTCTCCTGGCTCTCGAATTGATGAGTAAAACTGACAGTGTCTCGGAATTAGAGGAGGCTTGGCATCGTAATACGCCTTCACTAAGTCAGTCAACATTTGAAAGGTTGTATTATCTGGTACCTCAGGGAAAGTTAGGCTTCTAATAGCTGAAAAAGCTGCAGGTCCACAAGCTGTCAGGAGAATTACTTGTTGCTGTTCATCTGCCTCAATGTGATTTGCCCAGAAAAAACAACGCATTCTTTCCACATGCTGGGCCAAGTCTTCCACAACAGGATCAAATGATTCAAGCTTCCTAAATAGTGGTATAATACCGAAATGCTTACTCCAACTGAAAAGACGACTGTTGACAGCGAACTTCTTCTGGAGCATGCTTTTCTGTCGTTGCCACTGGAATAAATCCACAGAGGCTGGTATCCCATCACCAAGTCACCCTTTATTTATACGTGGAGAGTCCTTGACACTGATGCAGCTCCCTCAGAGCCAGCTCTCAGAGTGAACAGAACCCCTGACACTCCTGGTTATATCTGTCAGCCAGGGCTCCCTGATTAACAGCCCTAATCACAGAACTCATATTTTATGAGCTCTATAAGGCTGATCTCATTACAATCATACCTTCCTGCCCACTGTGTTTCTGAGAACAGAGGTCAGTTCATTCTCTTTTAGCTCCTCCTCGGGTGTTTTAGCACTGGGCCAGGTTCCTCCAACTCTGCGTCTGATAACTTGCCTCTTGCGCCCATCATTCTCCTCCTCAGGCAGCAAAAGGCTCGAGATGGCGACAACCACAGTGCCCAAATCTGGCTCTGAGGTATCTTGAATGTACGATTGGAGTCGCAATCCAGAGCCCCAGGCTAATGTTCTGGAGTTCTGCCATGGAGGCTGGTGTAATTTGAATCCAGTAAAAGAAAACTGGCCCAGTGGTGACTACATAAACACCTTCACTTATAATTAAAAACCAATCTGGTTCACTGATGTCCTCCAGGGAAGGAAATTGGCCATTCTGGTGACTCTGGACCTACAGTAATGTAGTTAACTCTTAACTGCTCCCTTGGGAATAAATACTGGCCTGGTCAGTGACACTTACATTTCAGAGGCAAATTAAAACGGGCTTCACCATTCAACCTAAAATAAAACCCTGTCAGCTGTTTTTGTGGACTCTTACAGAATCATAGAATCCCCACAGTGTGGAAGCAGGCCATTCAGCCCATTGACCCTCTAAAGCGTATTCCGCCCCCCCCAGACTAATCCCACACACCTATCCCTGCATTTCCCATGGCTAATCCACCAAACCTGCACACCTTTGGACTGAGGGAGGAAACCGGAGCACCTGGAGGAAATGCACACAGACACAAGGAGAATGTGCAAACCTCACATAGACAGTCACCCGAGGGTGGAATCAAACCTGGGTTCTTAGCATTTTGAGGTAGCACTGCTAACCACTGAGCCACTGTGCCAGCCCTTTTCTTCCAGAAACCTCCATAGGTGGTTTTTACATTTTTCTCTTAATCCGCATCCAGGCTTAACTTATTAAGAACAGTGAGTGTCAATAGTGAACAGAGTCACATAATCAAACTCAGAGTAAATGAGCACATCCCACCGTACAGTAACTTAACAAGTAAATCTACAAAAGCTGAAAGCAATGCACTTAAATCTGATTGATAATTTATTTATTCAGTACAAAAGCAACGTGAGACTACAGTTGAGGATCTTCAGCCAGACCCTACTATTGTAGAGAATGTGAGACTTACAGTTTGCCAGACTGTAACCACGATATCCATCCAATCCATTTCTGCGCAATAGTTGAGCAAGTTCACATTTCTGATAGACATAAGGACTTGTCCCTGTGAGCAGAGCACTGAGAATGAGAAAGGTCTTCATTTTCCTGATCACTACACAACAGGCAGCTTTTAAACTAGAAATATGACTTAAAATTATTCCCTTTGTCGTTGGTGTAGGAATCTGTTCTCCACATCTCCCCCCACCAACCCTTCACTATACAATTGGTACGCACATCAAAAAAAACTTGCAAAAACTTAACCAATCTCTGAACAGTCCATAAATTTTGGCTTCAACTCATCAAAATGGTGAGATTTCTAAGAACACTTTATTTTAAGAAAAATCTTTTCCAGGGAGCACTACAATCCTTCTTTCTCTGAAGATGAACATTTAGCTTCTAAGAGATTGCAAACACTATTTGGTTGATGGAAATTCTATACTTCTATACAATATGTTAAAGTTGATGCTTGTCCTAAACGGAATCAACTGAACTATGTCCAAATCAAATATTTCCTGTCACAGCCAATTGGCTGCTGAAACAAGCTGTATTTACATAGGACCTTTAATTAAATAAATCATCTTGACACATTTGGATAAGTACATGAATGGGAAAGGTTTGGAGGTATATGTGCCAGATGAGGACAGGTGGGACCAGTTTAGTTTGGAATTATGTTCAGCATGGATTGGTTGGACCAAAGGGTCTGTTTCCATTCTGTATGACTTTATGGCTCTATAAAAGGGAAGGTAGTGATATAGTAGTGGTGGTGCTACTCACTTAGTAATCCAGTAACCTCAGGCCAAAGTCCTAGTGATATGTGTTTGAATCCCAGTAGATTGTGAAGGTTGAATTCTACAAAATCTTAATAAGGAGTTGGCCCAATGGTGACTGCTATCAATTGTTGTTTAAAAAGCTGATAGAGATAACACAGTGTGGAGCTGGAGGAGCGCAGCAGGCCAGGCAACATCAGAGGAGCAGGAAAGTTGACATTTTGGGTCAGGATCCTTCTTCAGAAAAGGGGAAAGGTTTCTGAAATGTAAACCTGCTCCTCTGATGCTGCCTGGCCTGCTGTGTTCCTTCAGCTCCACACTGTGTTATCTCTGACTCCAGCATTGGCAGTTCTTACTATCTCTTGTTTAAAAAGCTATTGGGTTCACTAATCTCCTTTAGGGAGGGCAATCTGACTTCAGATCCACAGCAATTTTGTTGACTCTAGGCAATTACAGATGAGCCTAGCCAATGACACCCATCAATGAATTACAATAATTGACACTGAATCATTACAAAGGTGTGGCGTTATGGTGCATTTTAAGGGAGGGGAGAGAGTGTGATAGAGAGACATCAAGCTTTGGAATGGAAACTATAGAGTTTAGGGCATAGTAAGCTGCAAGCAGGGCCAATAAGGAAAAGGAAATGCAAATGTACAGAAGCAAAGAATTGGAGGAGCACACAGTTTCTGGTCTTGAGGAGACTACAGAGTTAAGGAGGTGTTTAATCCCTGGAGAGGTTTGTACACAGGTGAAATAGTTTTATAAGCAAGATAAAATGGACCAGCAACCAATATATACAATTTCACAACCTTCCCTTATATATCAGAGGCTGGGAATTCTACAGTGCATAACTCACCTTCTGATTATCCAAAACCTGTCCACTATCTACAAGGCACAAGTCAGGAGTGTGATGGAATACTCCCCACTTACCTGGCTGAGCACAGCTCCAACAACACTCAAGAAGCTTGACACCATCCAGGACAAAGCACCCACTTGATTTGCATGTCAACCATCACTTTAGATACTCACTCCTTCATCGGTGATGCAACGTATACCATTTACTGTAGCAACATTGACAAGGTTCTCTCAAATTCAGCTACGAAACCCAGGGAGAAAGACAAGTAAGGCACACAGGTGGAAACACCATCAACTGCAAGTTTCCACTGCAAGTCAGTGATGCCACATGAAGGAGTTATGGAAAAAAGTCTTCACTTTAACCCTTTTGCAAAGCACCCCAGATGAATCAAGGATCTGGAGTCTAATCTCAACCCCAAAGACTCTTATTGAGAAAAAGCTTGTAAAGGAACACAATGATCTTTATCTTCCTCAAATAGTTTTTTTTAGCTTTCTTTGTACTATGACTATAAAGGAATTTTCTGGAATATCAGCCAGTATAAGTGATTTTTAAGAAATGGTGTTCCCCTTTCTCAAGGAAATGTACCATCTTTTGTTCTCGGAAAGAACACACTGCCACTCCTTAGCAATCAGAAAGATAAGGAAAGAAACATAGGAACAGGAGGTCATTCATTCAGTTGAAACTCATGACTTTAAGGCCCCAACTTTACTGACACAAGAAGACCTTAATCTGCTCTAATGTCACTCTACCAGCAGCTTGATCCAAATTCATTCCTTTGCAACGTCCATTTATCAGATTTGTCTCAAATCACTCACACTTCCAGACCTTTGTCGTAACTCTCTTTCTTTCACTGGAGTGGTGAAGGATCTTCCCAATTCTCTACATTCCAGCCTGTCAGTGCAAAATAGGTAGAGATCACAGGACGATTCTGTGGAGTGGAATCACTTGTGATTAGATCCTGCCTCACTCAAATCCCTCCAATGTCCACCTGACCTCAATGTTAAATGTTATTCTGTGAATCACTTTTCTCTGTCGCAAATATTAAAGTATTATAGTATGCTAACTGTTAGCTCAGTGCTCCATCATTCTAAGATAATTTACACTAAATTAAATATGCTCAGTTTTCTGGTTTGTTCAAGAATGTATTGTTCCAAAAAAGCTCGCATGAATGTGCTCAAGATTTTCTCTGCCTCTGTAGTTCAAGTTGTTTAACTTCCTATTGTTTGGGTGAAAATTAATATCTCCAATTATAAATTCTCCACATGAAGCCTTGCAGATTTCTGTGTCTGTGTATCCTGCTTCCTCAATCTGCTATGACTATTCCCAATAATATCTTGCATCCCTTTCTGCTTCCCAACTCCACCCAGACAAGTTCTATGACCTGCTTATCTTTGTAAATTTCTTTTTTGATGAGACAGATCTGGAATACTTCTATAGAGGTCCCAAGTTCCCAGGTTGGAGATGTTTCTGTGTAAGAATGACAGTACAGTAAAGGAAATAGCATTGGCTATCTTTATTAACTCATAAGTTAGTGACATGTTATGTTATTGTAATGTTTAAACATCAAGATTTTAGGGCAAGGACATGATATTCTATTCTGAACAGGAGATTGGGTTAATGATAAGGTATTAACAACATTGGGCATGGGCACCATGTCCCACCCTGTGCTTTGAAGAACTTTTGAAAACCGTGCCCTGTTGAGTATGTCTCCAGCTCATTAACACACCCAGTCTCTACGCACCCCAACCCACCTTCCCTCCTTCCCATCCACTTCTGTCTCTCAGCCCCAGCTTCCAACTCCCTCGCCAGGAAGGGGAGAGTTTCCAAAACCAGAGTCAGTCAGTGGAAGTGTCACATTAGCTCCTGTTGGCAGTGAGGGAGGAACATGTTGTTTCCAGTTATGGGGGGGATGGTGGGATTGGAAAGGACAGTGATCTCGTTCCAGAAATGAAGAATGATTATGTTATAACCCCTCCCATTGGATTTAAGGTGGGGATATCTGTCACTCTTTACCACTGGAGCCTGAGGAGCAGCCTGTTCACCCAGCCCACTTCCTTCTAACACCCGGTGAGTCAGTACGAATATCCCGATCTGTAACTGGGCAGTAGCTTAGGAAAGGAAACCTGCAGTTGTTGACTTGCTCGCCGAGCTGGTAAGTTTGTTCGCAAATGTTTCGTCACCCTGCTCGGTAACGTCATCAGTGTGCCTCTGGTGAAGCTTTGGCATTCCGTCCTGCTTGCTATTTATGTGTCTTGGTTTTTTTGGGTTGGTGGCATCACTTCTAGGTTTGTTTCTTAGTGGTTAGTATGTGGGGTCCAGCTCTACATGTTTGTGAATGGAGTTCCAGTTTGAGTGCCAGGCCACTCAGCACAGCACAGGGATTCCTGAAAAGCATAGTCTCTTAAAGGAAAGATACATTTATCATAGCTAGTTCTCTCAATCTTTGAATCCGAAGTGATAAGTTCTAAGCCTGTCCCACAGCCTTGAGTACAAACTCGAGACTGGCATTTCCTGGTGCTATGCTAAGGGAGTACAGCATTATCAGAGGCGCTGACGTATGAATGAAATGTTAAAGTGAGCCCCTGTCTGCTTTCCCAAGTGGATGGCAAATATCCTGTGGCCTCGGGTTTGAAGATGACCAGGATAGTCATCTATGGTGCTCCAGGTTGAATCCTTTTCCCTTAACTAACCACCAAAACAATAACACAATCCATTCTTTATAACATTGCTGCTTGTAAGAGCTTATTGTTTGCATATTGATTGCCAAGGTTCCAAAATTGCAGTAATGAATTAGCATCAAATATTGGTTTGAATGCAGTTTGAGATGACTAAACATGTGAGTGGCACTATATGAGTGCAGATCTCTCCCTGTGTTTCAATGTTCCAGAGGAGCAGATGGGGGCCATTGAAACTGTGGAAGGGGAGAAGTGGGGGGACAGATACCCAGGTAGAGAGAAGTGGCTAAGTGCCCAGGTACCACTCTCCCATTAGGTGTGCCTGAGAGATCTTCAGCCAAGGGGATATTTTCTGATCTCTCCTGATTTGTAAAAGAGTGTCGAATCCCCATGAGTTAAATTGTTTAAAATCAAGCCGAGGTTAACAACTTCAAGCTTACGGAGCACCCTTTCCTGAGCATAGACTCCTAAAGACTCAAATCAATTTAATCAGTTTAATATTTATTACACATGAGCAACCCAACACATTAACCCAATATTAATGGGAAGGTTCATTTCTATAAACATTACTGGATGGAAGGCACTTAGTAAATAGGATGAGAACAGGGGCACCAATCGTTATACCATAAGGAATGATGTCTATTTCGGGAACGACTGCCACTGCCTCAGGAAATAACCAAGTGCTTTTGTACTTTGTAAAGTGTAGCTTTAGATTACATGCAATGCCATCAGTGTTCCCAGTCAGAATGGAAATTGTTGAGTAATTCCACTCACTGGCACACAACGCTGTTAGTTGTTATTAC